ATTGGAAGAGAGCAATAAGGTCTCCCATCAGTCTCCTTTTTCCCAGACTAAAGCCCCAGTTCCTTCAGTCTCTCCTCGTAGGGCATGTTCTCCAAGCCCTTCACAAGCCTTGTTGCCCTTCTTTGGACCTGCTCCAGCACCTCAATGTCCTTTCTGTATTGAGGTGCCCCAAACTGAACACAGTACTCAAGGTAAGGCCTCACCAGAGGTGAGTATAGGCGCAGGATTACTTCCCTAGTCCTGCTCACCACACCATTCCTGATACAAGCCAGGATGCCATTGGCCTTCTTGGCCACCTGGGCCTTCTTGGCCACCTTCTAGGCCATACTAAAACTCATACAGTTTATCCTGGCCCACTGATCCAGTCCATCTAGGGCCCTCTGGTAGGGCATAAGTCTATGCAGCCATACTTCTCATGGGATGCATTACACATACTGAGGACCACATCACGAAAAGCACTTTTTCAGTATTGAGTTTGCAGACACAAAGAGCAAGCAGCACACATCCACCAGCAGTAAACGCTGTGTCCCTGACAGCAACTTATGGTCACTCCAACCAACCTCACTGGGGGCTGAGAACGGTCCCACAAACATATGGATTAGAGCTGCCAGTGGCTCCAGCACACCTCATTCATCACACATAGTTACACTTTGCTCACACAATTCCTTCTAAGGGCAAAGCGATTACCCTTGGTCAGTGTCCAAGAAACAACAAAAAAACAAACCGCACCAAAAATTCCCAGCAAATTGCTCCCGTTCATTCTTCATTATGGGAGATTGAGGAAAAAGAATACCACCTTACAGTTGCACCACTCTCATCCCTCCACTAATCCATACTACACACAAGCTTTTCTATTTGTAATAAAGAGGAAAAAGCCAAGTCTACCTGGGCAGTTTCCACCCAGTCACCAGCCAGGCTTTCAGTCAAAGTCTGTATTTAGAAAAACACAATGGAGCTGCTGGTGTTAATAAATCTGTATTGTCTTAATTTGCTTATCCTCCACAGCCTATCAGTACCCATTTTTTTCTCTCTTCAACCCCACAGCAGCAAACAGAGCAGCACTATGCTTGCCCTGCACAGCCCAGCATAGCAGGAGCCTGCTCCCAGGCCACGATGTGAGTTCTGTATTACACAGATATTTCTACAGAAGCAATTGTTACTACCAATACTAGTCCCAGAGAAAACTGTTCATTCTTAGGTTAGCATGCAAGCTCCCAAAGTGCTTTTGAGACCTCTCCACCAGAAAGTGAAGTCACTATTTAATGACAAATTGCTTTTTGTAAATTGCCAGTTCAAATACGTTGGCATGCACACAGGAAAGCTAAATTAAATAGCACTCGACTAATCAAGCAACAAGTAGGTTTGCTCTGCCTGAGGTGAGCCTATAATCTGTTTAAAGAGTAAACGTGGAAGTTTGATTTAAAGGATGACAATGAATTCACACCTGGCTTTAGAAAGATGGTAGAGAAAAGAAGGTGAGAGAATTCAATGAAATAAAACAAAGCATGTAAATAAGGGGCAACTAACTTCTTCCAAAGTTAGAAGACTTTTCTTTCTCATCTAATCTCAAAAGGCTGGAGATCTAGATGCAGCCAAGGCACAAAACATGGATTACATTGAGTTTCACATACAAGATGAGCTGGTGCAGGCGGCACCTTGGTCTTGCTTGTTTTCTGACCCACATGAATGAATTGGCTCTGGCAGGATCAGCAATCTTGGCAATTTTGACACGGCCCTACCGGCTCAGAAGGTTTCCTGGGCTGTCCTCCTGCCAGCCACCGCTGGCCTGGTAAAGCATGCTCACACCTCTCCCAGCATCATGCTGGAGCAGCAGGGAAACAGGAAAGGAGAAAAAAGGGAGCCTTCTCCAGTGCCCAGCCACTTCCCCTTGTGGCTACGCTGACATAAAGAAGCAATCTCTCCTTCCCCTTATTCCTTCTCTCTCATTTATTGTCTCTTTCCAGGACAGCAGAAATCCAAGATCAGTCTTTAGAAGCTGACCTCCAAAGGCCAACTCAGGAGGCAGATACCCCTCACCCTATGCCAGCTCTCCATTTGCCAGGGACCCAACTCTGTCTAACTGTGGGTGTGTCGTGCCAGGCCATTACCCTCTCACAGTCCCATGATCAGTTCCCTGCATTCACTTCTGGTCTGCTTCTCCCACTTTTAATCTGTCACTCCAAACTTCCTTGCAAGACCCTGAGTTTTATGCACGCCTATCCTATCAACCTCTAAAGAAATGCGTGGAAATAAAGACAACTTAATTCCTTTACCTGTTATTGTATTTTTCTTAGTTTACAGTACTTAGAAGTGTAAGTGCTGAAAGAAGAAATGAAGTGGGTCAGGAGAGGTAGAAATACTCTTCCAAAGCCGTGAGTGCATACCTAACTTAGGGAGCCACACAGCACTGCCAAGGACCTCAGAGTTTGTTGTGTATACCAACAGCAGCAATCTCATCTATGAAGCGGATTAACTTTCCAGGGAGGTAAATACACACAAGTATAACATTCTTGTACGAACATACAGACTGAATTAAGCGAGACAAATATCAGCTGCCTTAATGTATACTGATAGACAGATACTAACAGTGTGCTGTGGACTGGCAAAGGGAACCATGCATGCAGCCAGCCCAAGCTGCCCTCCCCAAACACTCTCCAGCACTAAGTGCCATGGCAGCCAAGAGCCCTGGTAAGCAGCAGCACACCGCATGCGTGCCATCATGCTTGGCTACCAAGCGAAGCGCTGAGGGCTCCGCAGCACTGAGCAGCCCAGAGGCCGGAATCACACCCATCACTGTGCAGCACTGGCTCATGGAACCCGGGCAGTCACTGTGTCTGGCTGTACCAATCCTGCTAGGACCGTGTGGCAGCCGCTTCTCTCCTTAGCTGTGCTTCTCCTGGGGGCATAGGGGAGACCACAGGATAATACAGCACAGCCACTCTGTCGCTCCTCCCCTCCTGCTAAGTAAGACACTCTATAGAGATTTAAAAAAAAACAAAAATTCAGATGGATACAGCTTCAACCCTCAAGCACAATTATTTGTGATCCTCCCTGTATTCCTACCACGTGAATCCTCTACAGACCTGCACATGGACCTAACTGTTCTACCTGCGTTATCCCAAGAGAAAACCCCCCCACAGCAAAGCACTCCTAACAAAATACCTGAACCAAAGCCCGCGGGATCCCAGCGTGAGGGCGTTCAGCAGGGCGCTCCCCATACAGCCCGACCGCGTACACCGGGACCGGCTGTGAACGGGGCCTGCGCTGCCCTCCGGCCCGCCCAACTTTTCGTTATCCCCCTCCCGAAGTCCCAGCCGGCCCCGACCCCCAGCGCCGCACACCGGGCAGCCCACACGCGCGGCGGCAACCCTCCGCCGGGAGCAGCACAGCACACGGCCGGGCTCAGCCCCCTCCGCCGCCGCCCTCCCGCCGCGTTCCCTCCCAGGGACGCCCGCACCCCGTCGCCCTTCCGGCCCCGCTCCGGGAGCCCACGCACCGCTGCCGCTTTGTGCGGGACTTGTTGAGCGCCGGACGCGGGCGGAGGGGCCGCTCCCGCTGCATCCCGCCCCGGGGCACGGGCCCTGCCCGCCCCACGGCCGCCGCCGCCTCCCACCGCCCTCCCGCCCGCCGGCAGCGGGGAGCGCGCGCTCCGGCCCGGCCCGCCCGGACGCACCTTGAGGCTCGCCCGGAGGGGGCCCTTGCCGTGGGCGCTCAGCGCCGGTGGTGGGCTCCCCAAGCCGCCTTCCTCCTCCTCCTCCTCTTCCTCCACCTCCACCACCACGTCCTCGTCTTCGTCCTCCTCCTCCACCGCGGCGGCCGAACCCTCCCGCCGGGGCGGCCTCCAGGCGCTCTCGGGCTTGGGGGGCCGAACCCCGTCCGCCTG